ATTCAAGTCAATTCAATTGAATAATGTAGATAAATGATTTAAGTCATGAAGTTTCATAGGTGAAACCGTGCCCTCAAAAATGTGAAACAAACAACCAGAACCTTAGATTAATATTTGTAATTTAAATATTTAAGGAAAACGATGTGCTACAACTGGACATACGTTCTCAAATTGTACTCGTATGTGACTGTTAAATATCAGTATGATAGGCCGTCCAACAATTCGCACACCTGTATGTTTTTGCGGCTAGTAGCGTTTTATTCTTGGCGTTGGGATATATCGTGTCATTTATCCAACAAACGTGTCAAGGAGTGTGTCCAATATATGTTTGTTCGAGTTGGGATTTGAAGTCAAAAACGTAGGGTTTTGCGTGCAACATAATAGTCATTTAGCTGGCGGGCGTTTAATAGAACGCAAGGGAGCAGAATGGAGCTGGGCGAACAGGAGCGCTAATGGCGAGGATTACAATATTTCTATATATACACTTTAGGTAGACTTATCACTATGGATACAACAGATATTTTCTAATCAAATTGATGATTGGTGTAAAATAATTAGTTGAACTATGGGCGGATGCTTCAGTTAGAAAAATACTAATTAACATTCAATCAGAAATATAATAAGGATTTCGCTAGAAAAGTTTCGGAAATAAACATCGTGTCGAAAATTTGTTGGGAACGGAATGATGTTGAATTTTGTGATTTTAGTCCCTTCGTGAGTTGAGCCGCAATTCTTAAAAAGTGCTGGTTGAAGAGATTTGCCACTTTCTCTGGATTACTTGCTTATCTTTCATTATCCTTTAAAACAACATTCTCTACCAAGTACCGAGATGATGTGGTCATATTTTTTATGATATTCTACTTTGCTTTCGTTTTGTTACTTGTGTTCAAAATATCAATATTATTTTATCTTATTTTTCTCCAACTATTACGTTTCTTAAACTTTTTTTGTATTCTCGGAAGTAAACATGAAAACCGGGTGACACGTTATAATGTTTAAAAATAAAGTAAAGCGTATGTTTGTTTTTATATGATGTTGCATTTCCTTGCGTGATCCAGGTATTATTTTCCCGTGAAATGTTTAATTTTCCCTTTTCGAGAAGAAAGCATGCATTAAACTGAAATGAAGGCTTTGAGAAAAATAGTGAGTAGTTCATAAATAATTTTCTGTTAACTTTAGTGAATGCTCTGCACACGTTTGTTTTATTTATTGTGTGGGTGTTCATGTTATTAGAAATTGTAAGAATTTGTGCTTCGTGGTCACTGTAACCTAGATTAGTAGTTTTTATTTCATATCTAGTTGTGGTTTTGTTAATTATAATTTGATTTATTGCTTTTTGTGATTTAAATATATTTCGTGTCGGTGCATTCACTGTAATATCTAAATTAAAATAATTCAGTAAATTGGGAAACTGCTCTTTTTCCTGGGATTCGCTCAGAAAATCAATATTGAAATCTCCACTTATATCAATGGGTTTTTAAGATATATTACTAACTTTGTTCCGAGTTACCTGTATATTTTCAAAGAAAATGAGATTATCTAAAGCTCGCTTTGTTGGAGGTTTGTAGATGCAAAGTAAGTTAGTTTTGGGCGTAGTAAGATACACGACTGTTATTTCAAACATTTGTCAACTGCATATACATTGAATTTTGACACGAAAATAGAATCAATATCTTACGTAAATACACGAACCGCTGTAAGCAGAGCTCTTGTTTGATTCCCTCGCTCTACAATATGATCCTGCAAGGTAAAAACTAAGAATTTGTGGGGTGTTTAGATCATTATAAGACAACTAATGTTGTGTAAAGCAAAAAAAAAACTATTTATTTGACCTACATCACATTGTAATTCTCTCTCGATACATTCAATTTTATTTGAAAGATATTGCACATTGTGATGCATTATTGTTTTTTTTTCTTGAACTTACACGGATGTTTATCTTCTGCATTTAACAGTAGTTGCTATTTATTTATCTCATTTTTACCTCGTGGTCGAAGAAAGTATCGTGCCCCTCCAATGGCAGGAGGTGAGGATGGAGGGGGGACAAATGTAAATAAATGAATAATGGGAGAGATAGTCCCAGGATTATGTTTAGAGGATAATGTAGTGTACTTCACAGACATATTTTGGAGTTCAAGAACTAATTTTCTTTTAGATTTTCAACGGGGGAGGAAAGTTCGGATGTAGAAAAATAAAAATATTTGTCTGTGAATTTTCGGTCCAATTTTGAAGGTTTGTCAAGTCTTCCTCTGAAGGTTAATAGGCTCACTGCTATGTTAGAATTTTTCAAGGATGGGGGAAGTGAAAAGCTGTAGTTTCTGTCAGAAATATCTCTTAACCACACGAAGTGTCTGCAACGAGACCCTCCTCGGAATCGCTCCCGCGCGGGGCGCTGGCTATTCTTCCCTGAGCGCCGCGCAGCGTCGGAAGACCCGCTAGGAGTGGGAGAAGCCGGAGGTGAGGCGGACGGACGGCGGGCGGCGCGCACACCGCAACTGCAGCTGGCCAGCGCCGCCGCCTCGCCGCCGCCAGCCAGACACACGACCGGACGCCCGGTGGGGACGGCGGCTCAGCGTCCCAGTATTCGATATCCGTTGGCGGTTGCCTGCGGTCAGGCCCCGAGCCGCCGTCACCGCTGTCACCGCCGGCGCCGCCGCCGATCCACTTTCCTTTCGCCGCCCGCCTTCTCGTCCCCATCCTCCTCCACCTTCTTCTTCTCCTCCTCCTCCAATTTCCCCTCCGTTTTCCCTCCTTTCTCCCTCCACCTACTTTCTCCCCTCCATCCACTCCTTGTAACCCTTTCCTTCTCCTCCCTTCTTCCCCGACCGTTCCCCTTCCTTCTTACATTCTCTCCACCCTTATTCCCTTTCCTCCTCACCCTTCTCTCCCTTTCCTCCCCATCCTTCCTCCTTTCCTCCCCTAACTTCGCTCCCTTTCCTCCGTTCCATTCTTTCTCTTTCTCTCCTCTCCTTTTCACTCCTCTCTTCTTTAACTCACATCGGCATCACCTCTTCCATACACCCCTCTTTCGTCTCTCTCTCTCCCTTTCTCCCTTTCATCTCCTCTCACATTATTCCGTCATTCTCCACCCCCTCCTCACTCCCCCTTTGGACCCTCCCATTCTCTTCGTCCTCCTCCTCCATATCTCGCGTTCCGGTTCCCGGCTGACGCGCTCCGCGTTGGATATGACGGTGCGGCGGCGATGCGGAAAACGCCGAGATTGGCTCAACGCGAGAGGATGGAGTTGCGTTAAAGAGATAGTATTTCTGCGGTTTATGGTTTACAAACGTTGATGTAATCATGAAAGCACAGGCGCGTTTACCGCGTATATTACCGACTCGAGATTCGTTGACCGAGAGGGCCTTGTTTTGTACAACGAATGAAGACAGAAATGTGGCTAATATTCGCAAAGTCCCGTCAAATCGCGAATGTGTGTATAAAACTGTATGAATGATGATGAACAGATAATTGCAGACTTCAACCGGATATTGTTGATATCAGTGTGTATGATTTGGCTGAAGTAAAGTGATTATCCGTGTGTGAAGTATCTTGTGTGTTTGCAAGAAGTATTTTTGTATAAAAATACAATATAAATTATGTGTTCCTCACACTCCAGGTTTTATATGTAAATCGCGGACGATTAAGCCAAGGCTAATTTTGAAATAAGTAGCGATGGTACTAAGGTACAAAAGGTTAGGTTTTATGATATCGTCCAAATGTAGATGTGCGACTGACACAGAGCAACACGAACATTCCACCCTGTCCGTTTTTGGACGTTTGGAAACATCCAATGAGAGATTTCCCGTCACACCCGACGCTGCAACATCGCCAAAACATGCCTCCGGAATGGATAGTGATACTAATGGGCGAAACTCGAAAAAAATTTCATTACCACCACTATTCGAGGCACCTGCAATCTACACCACTGTATCTGCTGTTAATTAAGTTAAGATAATTGGATATTTTGAGGTAATAATAATAACAATAATAATAATAACAATAATAATAATAACAATAATAACAATAATAATAATAATAATAATAATAATAATAATAATAATAATGTTTCTATTAGTGAGATATTGAGATGTATTTCATTATTATTCTACGCTGCTAGTCTAAATTATCAGTTCAATAATTTGGTATATTGCCTATTGTTAGATATTGTTTTTCAGTAAAGTTTTGTTTTGTGCCACTTACGTCTTATGGAAATTTGAAAATATTTTGTTAATATTTTTTTCGAGTGTTCTCTGATAAGAAGTTCTGGAATTTCAATCACGAAAATCCAGATATTCTCATATAGATAGAGTTCGTTTTTTTTAATGGAGAAACTTTGATTTACACTTATTGTAAAAGTACTTTCAAAATCAATATTGCTTCAGCCGTGAGAAATGTGAATGTAATTGTATTGAACTCAAATTTAAGGCATTAATACTTCGTCCTGTAGGTAGAATATGAAATAAGTAAAGAATATTGTAACCTGCGCCGCCCTGCCACCCAGCAGCTTCGGTCACGCCGCAGCCCTGGTCCCCCAGTGGTTCTTTGTCAGTGTCAATGAGTGAACAACAATTTATTCCAACACTATTTAATATAATTGCACATGATACTTCAATAAGCGTATTTATATTTTGTTTTTTTACATGCAACTTTGTTACATGCAACTTCATGTTTATAAAGGCCAATATTCGTGTCTTGATATGAACCAAACTTTCACCTCCCAAAAACCTACCAGGTACTGCCTAAATTTGCAGTTTGTTTGCAATCATGCAATTTACTTCCACCCACTCTTGTTCATTTTTGTTCTGGAACCGAGTACTTGAAATGCAGTCGTCCTTCGCCTTCTCATCGTTTCTTGTTCAAACGATTGTTTCAATTTTGAATTTACATCATAAAAACACCAACATCTTCCTTGCATTTTATCGCGTGTAATCCTGCATACCATTAATATTGTTTAATGTGATTTCACCTTAAAACATGTTTTGCAGCTATTAGTGCAGTAGTCGGGTCACTTTTTTTCTCATGTCGGACATCATATTCGTAACCGCTGCAACTGCAACTCCAACTGCAACTGCATCTGTCTTGGCTCTCATCGTAGCACCAGTCCTCGGCCCCAGCGATCGCCGCTGCCACTGCCGTCGCCTCTACTGCCACCGCCACCCTACTCCATCCCCCTTGCATCCCTAGCGCCGCAACCGCCACCGCCCTCCCCCACATCTCCCTCAACCTCGTCGTCTCCCCACCGTCCGCCGCCCTGTCCCCCAGACCGACCTCCGCCGCAGTCCCCTGACCTCGGCCCCCTCTCTCGCCGGTCCGCGGCCGCCGTCGCTGATTGTTTCCGCGCGGATCCTGCCGCGCTGCGCAAGGCGGCGGAGCGCCGAGAGCCGGCGACGGGGAGGGCGGGGCGTGGCGGGGCTCCCAAGCGACCCGGCGTCGCCGCATGTGCTCTGGGACACGACCCGCCCCCGCGCCAGCGCCTCGTCGACAAGCGTGTTAAACCAACGCCGCACCTGGAGACTTGTGGCGACGGGGGATTGTTGGCGCTGCTGCTGCGATACCTCGAAGGGAGGTGCGGAGCGGGGGGAGCGAGGGGGACTGAGAGGTGGGCCCTCGGGAGGCGCGTGTGCTGCCAACTTCGTCATTCGAAACGCCGCACCTTGCCTCTGCGGTTTTACATCGCTTTCTTGTGGGATGGATGTTACGTTGCTCAGTATAATACTGTCAGGCAAACCCTCAATTGAATTGTGACGTGGTTTAAAACTTGTCTGATTACGCTAACTTTCACCTGATTCTATGGCACTTTCTTTTGTATTATATATTCTTGCGTGAAAAAAAGTTTTACGCTGCGATAGGTGAGATACAGTTTCTTTTTGAGACATTATTTTCTACACAAATATTATTTTAAACACAAACCGTTCCTTTTTTTGTTTTCTCTTTTTGTTTCTCTCAATCACTCCCTATCTACCCCAAGACAGAGAGACATTTTAATTATCTCTTGCAGTGTTTTGTTTTGTACCCCGTTCCTCATTTGTTTTGCATCTTCCCTTCCACACAATAGTTCTTCCACTCAATATGTATATTTTCTATCAATTTATTGGGGCCCAACGTTTTCTTGCACATTCCCCCTGACGCGCCCTGTGCCGGTCGCCGAACGTCTTAACCAGGCATTGCGAAGTTAAGCAACTCTAGATACTGCGTTTTCCAGGATGGGTGACCGTCTGGGAACCACGGATTCTAACGTCTCCACTCGCCGATAGGGATGTCTTGCCTCTTGACTTCAGGCATGACAGACTGACTTCAAAGAGTATTACGTCACGTTCAAAGTCGAAAAGGCTTCGAAAGTTGTTACGCAAGTAATAGAACTATTTACATATTTTATTCTGCAGCTACACAATTTATCGTCATGTTCTTGCCCCACGCAATCTCCTCGTACTCACCGCCCCAACCCATGCTTCCCCACGCTACCCCTTTCGACTCGCCCATCGCCTCGCCCCCTCTTCCGAGCCCGCGTATTTATTGGGTGCGCGTTCTCGACGTTGTCCATCCATCTGCAGGAATCGGCCCTGCGGGACTCGTTGCGTGGCCGGCGCTTCCTTTTGTTCGCCGGGGCCGCCTGTCCGGCTCCTCCATCTGCGCGAATTTTTCACCTGCTCTCCTCGCATTCGTCCGCCGCCGCCTGCCTCCTGACGCACCACTTCGCCAAGAGATCCGTCAGGGCCGCGAGCTACGAATTGCACCCGCGGGCCGCGGTGCAGGCGAAATGCTCGGTGGCTTCGGAGGTGTAACAGATCGGACTGTTTTATCCAAGGTCGCTGAGTCAAACCCGATCGAAATCGTGGAGTTTTAAGGCCGAAAAAAATATTTGTTTTCCTTTCTTCGAAGGGGAAGTTAAGTTGGCTGTCCTATGTTGTAGATGTACTGCATCTTAAAGATCAAAGCCTACGAGTAGTCTCTGAGCAAAATTCAAATCGTCTGAGCAAATTTCAATGCCGTGTTTCCTGTGCAGTTCAGAACAACGTTCCGTGGCAAGAGAGAACCCGTTAGAGGAACAGAATTTTCCACGATCGCGGCACACTGAGTCCTGTAGTAGTTTCTTATAAACCGGATTGGAGGGGGCGAATTCTGAGGGACACATGATGTTTGGAATACTTATAACATCTATATTCTTGCAATCATATTTAATTAAAATTTCTCAAGGAGTGTGTCTTCGAGACAGCCTTCATAACAGGGAGAACAAAGAATAGTAAATAAAATGATCATGATAATGAAAGAAGTCTCGACCGTAAAATAATGGCGGTCCAACAATAGCTGCTCTGTGAAATTGCAGGGTGGCATTTCAGCCCGAAATACTAGTTTCAGTTTCCGCGGCTGAGGACAGTATTCCTACAGATCGTACTACCGCACTATTACGACCAGACGCTACATTAAGAAACAAAGAGCTAAAACATAGTAAAGGAAGTGACTACGTCATTTTGATCGTCTTGGTCGAGCATCAAATTTCAACTTTGCGATAGCTGCAGTAGTCGTAAACTATACTAGAAATGAGGAACATACATGGCGATCAGGCAAACAGAACGTATAAATAAACCGGTAATCAAAGAATAAAATAAATCCAGCAGTGGAAGGCACCGTAACAATGAATGAAGTAGCCACCAGAAAAGAATTGCAGCCTTAAGCTGGCTTCTTATTCGAGCGACAAAACGAGAATAGCACGACGACAATCAGCAGCAATAGAAAAAGAAACAGAAAGCAGCAAAGCCTAGCATACTGAAAGGATAGCAACCTTGACGACAAAATGAGTGACGCCAGCGAGAGCGCGGTGGCGTTAGGACGGTTTCTTGGGCGAGTGGCGACCTTTCACCCTGATGGCGCAGCTTTCGTGCGCTTGTCTGCGGGGGTGGAGCGTGGCGGGCCGGTGCG